TTAATTTCAAGTATCATTAAAGTACCTATGAAGAATTTAAACCACTGATTTTTGAAATTTAGAAAATATTTAAATCAGCATGTCATAAGTTTTCCAACCCTGGTCTAGACAATATGTTTCAAATAATCATTAAGTATTAAGTAAACTGATTGGTTCTATTCACTTTAAATATAATACAGCCTATAATCCATATCTACCTACCAGCCTACCTATTATTATTTATTGTTTATAAAAAACACAATATATTTATACATATTGATGTTATACATAACAATAACTATATAGTTGAAGGGTGATAATTCAAAACGTGGTATTGCCAAAAATTTAAAAATCGAGATAAACATCGATTTTAATATAAAAAAACTCGAGGAATTCAAATCTGGAAAGTAAGAAAAATCTTATTAATTATAATTAATGGTTCGACTGATAATACAAKAWAATAATATTGAATACTAATAGGTWTACGTACTCTCTTTCGTATTCAACTTTATCCAAAAAGACAAGATTAGGTGCCAAAAACCATTTTTTTTATTTGATGCTGGTGATCCTGTACCYAGCTTTCATTTGCTTCTTRAATAAGAGTCCCTGATATTCCTCCAGCGTTTTTTAGTATCTTCCACTAAGATTATTAAAATAAATGTATTTTATTTTATTTTGATAACATAGATAGATAATGGTATTTGTTTATTATTAACTTACAAGATTTCCCAATTTTATTAATTGATATATTTTTCCATATATCATCTTCATCACATTGTTTTTATAATTTGCTTTTGCAATATTGTATAAAACGGGGTTGTTTTGTATTTCCTKTACAAGGACTTCATCTYCTGATGGTAAAAATATTATTTTTGACGTATTGTTGCACTGATGAGTCGCGGCGTACTGCTCTTGGAGCAGTCGTGTACTCGTGTCGTCGTCCGTGACGACATATCGCACGTTGCAAACCAGTCTTTATGATTATCGTACTAGCAGTTATTAACGACATGTCGCGACGACCGGTCGTCGCGACCAGTCGTGCCAAAGAAACCGTACCTTTAGTCTAACATTTTATACTAAGTCATATGGCCTTTGGCGTTTGAGACACCTTATGTCTTGTGAGTTGTCAAGTAGTTGAATTGCTGCTGGATTGGTGTGTTGATCTAGCCTCATAGCGTGTTTTCGGGCGATCTTTGTAATTTCGTCCTGGACGGAGGGCATCATCAAATCTCGGTGGATAGTGTCATTTCTGTCGTACCGGCACGCTGCGACAATAGTACGGAGAGCAATGTTTTGACAACGTTGAATAATCTCATTATTGGACTTACTGGCACAACCCCACAGTTGTATTCCATAGGTCCTAGCCTAACCTATTGGTTTAATTATCGCTACGTACAAAAGACGTTTGCTTGTAAGGTCTAGTTCAGAGTGTCTTCCGATTAGCCAATAATTATATTATATTAGCTCAATTTATCTTTAATTTGCAACTTTTTCTGTCGAACGTGATGTTTCCAGTTTAATCGCGAGTCAATATGCATTCCTAGATATTTTGCAGCATCGTTCTTTGGAATGATCTGTTGATCCAACATTACTGGACAATAAACACTTTTACGCAAAGTTTAATATAAGTGTACCGATTTGTCACTGTTAATTTTGATTTTCAACCACTTAGTACAGTTGGAGACGTTGTTAAGTGTTCGTTGAAKTTGATCAGTCGCAGTCTGCTGATCTTCATCAGTTGCCAATATTGYTGTGTCATCGGCAAACATGGCTGTCATTGAATAGTTGTTTATTGGAATGTCAGCTGTGAAAAGTAAGTACAAAATAGGYCCGAGGACCCTTYCTTGGAGTACTCYAGCTGATATATTTTTCCAGTCAGTTATTGCTTCTTCGTGAATAASTCTGAWCTRACGTTCAGACAGATAGGATTCGATAAGTACGCACCAGGTTTGTGGCAATTGTTCGCGTAGTTTAATAAGTAATCCTTTGTGCCAAACTTTATCGAAAGCTTGCGCAATATCGAGGAATACTCCACAGCAGTATTTTTTTTTTCTTCCATTGCCTTGTTTATTACATTTGTGACACGATGGACCTGTTAAATTGTTGAGTATTCTGACTATAGTTGCTATGTATTGGTTATTGCGTACTAATACCATTAAGTTGTGTGTTTGAATAAATCGCACAATGCACTAAAATAAAAATATATATTTAATGATGATAATTTAGAATTGTCATCATATTTAATTTATCCTTTAATATACACATGGTTTAGAACAAAAAAAACTTCTACTAATGTTCAACTCAGTTGAAAATTTAGCCTTTAGTTAAAATTTAATGATCTTATAAAATAAAAATTAATTTAAACTGCAACAATTCAAAAATAACTGGGTCTATTATTAGGGTTCAGATGCCAATCAATTTGCATTTTTACTTTGGAATGTTTGATATAATGCTTTTCCATATACAAAKATGCTTTATGTGTTCAGTATAACTAACAGTAACAGTACCTATTCTAACAAACTTGTTTTATTATAGGAATTTATAACAGAATTCATTCTGACCTTACTTTTAAGTATTATCATATTGTAATATTAAAAAACCTATTGTAAGAAAGACAGTCACTGTAGGAATATTTATCAACATAAATATATATGTAAGTTAGCTAACCTGATTAAAATGAAACCAGCACCCTATCAACTGACTATCA